GGATGGGTGGATGGGTGGATGGGTGGGTGGATGGGTGGATGGATGGATGGACGGAAGGATGGATGGATGGGTGGGTGGGTGGATGGATGGGTGGGAGGGTGGGTGGGTAGGTGGATGGAGGATGATAGAATAAGTTTATTCTAAGTAAGAGTTTTACGGCACTTGCAACACAGAGGTCATATTAGTGTTAAAATTAGAGGTGTTACTAGAGAGTAACATACAAAAAAAGGAGGAGAGATAGGGACAATAGATGTTTGATAGGAGAGAAGGAGCAAACCACACTCTGTGATAAAATCAATTGAAATTAAGCTGGATAGACAGACAGACAGACGAACACACACCCTCCTCCATCACTGGTCCGCCCATCTGCGAGTCCCAAACACTCCCGTAGAACTCCCTCACACACACACACACACACACACACACACACACACCCTCCTCCGTCACCGGTCCTCCCATCTGCGAGTCCCACACACTCCCGTAGAACTCCCTCAATGCCTCTCTCCGCCCCCTCAGCTCTCCGGAATCCTTCCCCTCCCTCCTCACGTCCACAGAGGTCACGCTGTGGTGAGTCGCCGCGTTGATCAGGATGAACCTACACCGGAGAGATCAGTCGGTAAAGGTATGGGTTTTGTTTGTTTGTTTAAAGGTATGGGTTTTGTTTGTTTGTTTTAGTAAAGTTTAAACTTAAAGGCTTTTAACGAATTTTCCTGAGGTAGTATTCAAGTTTGCCAAAAGTCAGCGGAGATCCACACTCCAGACACCACCAACAAACATCTATTCCATGTATCAACAATTCAACACAAAAATATTTAGTATTACATCTTCTCTTCATTCTGAGAAAATTTCGTGAAGATTGCATGCAAAATGGTGGATTATTTTTTTTTAAAGTATACAGAAAAACCGCGTTTTAGGAAAACGGGCGATTAAAAAATAAATAAAAGATTGACTTTATGAGGAAATGGTGGTGACAAACATGCCCGGTATGGGAAGAAATATGGCTTTTTTACGACTTTACTGGATTCTTAGTTGATGAAATAGTTGTAAGAGAGGCGGAAGAAGCTAAAAATGCATACAACTCAAATTCCATTTTTTTTTTGCGAATCGGGACTTTTGGGGTATAAACCCCCCCACCCAACAAAACCCTTTAAAAAGTGAGTTAAAAAGAAAAAGCCCTACCCCAGAATGTTGTTGTCTACATCGATAGAGGCGGGAAAGTTCCTGGGGTGTATCTGTCGCACCTGGTGGAGGGTGTCTACTGCTGCAACCCAGAACCTGGCTATCTGTATACACATATGGG